AAGTGCGGTAGTCAATCGCTTCTTTAACTCTGAAAAATTCATTTCACAGTTCTCGTTCTACTTGAACTTGACGTTCTTCTTTATGACCCTAGTCAAAAGAGCAACTAGACTAAAAAATCATTCCACAGACCTACGGTAATAACCTATCATTCCTATAAAGCTATGAATCTCCTTGGCTGAGGTTAATTTTTTCCAGTCGAGCACTGTCTCAATTTTTTTGGGGTTCACTAATACTTCATCCCTTGATATGATGTACCCTAGGAAGGTCGTCTGCTCGAGTCAGAACCCACATTTACTCAGCTTTACATACAACTTCTTTTCTCTGAGAACTTATAAAACTTGAGTCAGATAGTGAGTGTGCTCCTCTCTACTTTTTAAATAGATCAGGATATCATCGATAAATACAATGACGAACTAATCTAGAAATTGTCTAAAAATTATGTTCATCAAATCCATGAAGATAGCTGGTGCATTGGTTAGTCCAAATGGCATGACCAGGAATTCATAGTGTCCGTACCTGGTTCGAAAAACTATTTTGAGAATGTCTTCTGCCCTGATTTTTATATGATGGTAACCTGAACGCATGTCTATTTTGGAGAAGACTTAGGTACCCTACAATTGGTCAAAAAGATCATCGATCTTGGGGAGGGGGTACTTGTTCTTGATCGTGACCTTGTTCAGTCCTCTGTAGTCAATACATAACCTTAACATCCCATCTTTCTTCCTTGCAAATATAACTCCGGCATCCCAATGAGGCACACTATGTCAGATGAATCCACTATCCTACAATTCATTGATCTATTTCCTTAACACCTCCATCTCAACACGACTCATGTGGTAATTGGCAACTGAAATAAGCTGGTTGCCTGACTGAAAATCTATGGTGAATTCAACTTCTCTGTCCACTGGCAGTTCAGTTAGTTTATCCAAGAACACATCCGAAAAATCTCGGACTATCGGAATCTCTCAAATACAAATCTCTTTCTTAGGTCTGCATAATTGGAGAAAACAATCGAGTTAAAACACTTAATAATAGGAAAAATTGACATGAGGGAATAATGTTTAAATAATTTTATTAATTTATAAATAACTCTTCATTAGGAGGGTTGAATACAAGTTTCTTATGAAAACAATCTACGGTGGCGTGATACGCCGCTAGCCAGTTCATTCATAAGATTACATCAAAGTCCCCCGTGTCAATCTCTATTAGGTCCGTACTC